TCGCTGTGCGTTTAAAATGTCTCACTCTGGTCCATAAATCCCTCCCAAGTATTGAGCAATTATCAGAATGTACAACGCACCTGTTTACATTGTACTGCTGCTACTTTTATATGCCGTTTATCATTTACAACCATATGTTAATCCACTGCTGGATAAAGGCCTACCCATAGTTTCCATGGTCTCTGGGGTCATGGGAGATATTTCGGCTTGACCGCGCATGGCGGTTGCAAATTGGTGAACGTGGACCCCGGGACCCTTTGGGATACCAATCGCTGCCAATGTTAGCGGTGACCAGGAGTCGAACCCGGGTTGCCTGATTTTGTAGCACCATGCGATAACCACTGCACCACCACTCTACCCACTCTCTTTTAAGTCTTCCTTACCTATACTAAATTAATAACCTGATAAAGTTCTTATCTTGATATTGAGGAGTGCTACTAATCAATTCACTTTTATTACATGGACAGTATATCCTGAGCATCAGGAGTTGTAGTCATACAATTTTGGTTAATTGTTGCGAAATTCTGATCAGGATCTCTCCACGGGACGGCTTTCTTTTGAGCCTTGACCAAATTGGTGCTCGACCAGATGACGCCAGAAGGCGTACAACTCTGGTGTGGACCAATCAGTTTCAAGGACAATGCATATACTATCATTGTATGTTTTTTGTTTGCATTTTGACTGCAGGTATTGTGGTGAATGCAGACATGAATCCTTGTAAAAAGGTTTCAGTTTTGTTGCCAGAAAAAAGAAGGAGAGAAACCCTATTATTATTATAAGATGTACTTCGTGGTGGTGTCTTTAACATTAGCAGCATAGGGATGAAGGTCGCCTGGCAAGTATGGTGATCACCACTTCGTCCGCCGTCGTGGCTGCCACACTTTGCTTTCATCGGCGCTCGCCACCAGCACCTTCCAACATAGAGCCTTGCTGGGATAAAATGTAGCGGGTTCCGGAAACTCCACGAAAACGTCAAAGTGTTTAAGCGCTCAGTTTTTCCGTGAGCAAGCACATCTTCCACTGGTGACCCGCAACCAGTGGTGAACATTCCCCATTTACATGGCAAGCACCAATTATGTCCATTGGCCACGCTCGCTGTTTGACGTTACGAGCACCAATGGTGTGAAAACTTATCGTCCTTAACGTTTATGCGAAATTAGCTATTGTCTGCAGCACTCCTCCTCCTGGTGCAGCTGGGATATGTGGATTTTTTGGTGCTTTACAACTTCACCTCCCCCCATCTCCCGCCCCCCCATAGTGCTTACGACTCGTGTCTCTCCCCAGCCCCCCACAACCATCACACTCAATGGTCCCCGACCCCCATCTCACCCCCTACATTGTCCCAGCGTCTCTGGAGACGCCTCCACTCTTTTTTGTGTGTGTGTGTTTTTTTTTCCCCGCACGACATCGTGGAGATGAGTAATGCTGCTGTTGGGAGAACAGCTGACGCGCACGCACTCGCGCGCTAAGCCCACGGACGCGCACGCTCGGCACACAAGCGTCTGGTGTCGCGGTTGGCGTGCTGCGCTACGAACCCGTCAACCCGAGTTCGATTTCTGCTCCCGGCCAATGGTCAACACCAAGTGACCTTTATCTTGCACCGATTTCGAGCTTCCGCGAGGCCAACTCAGCCTTAAATTAGTACGTGGTGCGAGGAGTAAATATTGCCATTGGGAAGACAAAGGCGGCCAGGCGTGCTGCTGGCCTTGATTGGTGCTCGCTAATAGCACTTCAACAGTCTGTTAATGTCTATGTGGGGGAACTTTGTCTTTTCATGTATGGACCAGAACATGTGCACATCTATGCATGCGTGTACATATATTCGCACAACGGATGTATGGTCATGGTCGCAACGATTATACACATACGGACAGGCATGTGTGTATGCAGACGTTCTTGATCTGTATCCAAGTACATGCACACGTGTGTGCATGGATACGCATGTGTACATGTGTGGTGACTTGAATTCATGCACACAAAAACATGCATTCATGTTATGCGAACAGAGATGTACACGTGTCCATATACATACTTGTACACACACACACGTTGACTAGGGTGCATATATATTAACACACGGTTAACACTGCAATGTGTACACACCGCACCAGGTTCTCATTTGAGGCTGAGTCGACTCAGGGGGAGCCCAGGACCAGTTCACGTAATCGTCACCGGTGTTGACCGTGGGCAGAAATTGAACCCCAGCCGCAAGAACTCGCGTGCTAACCGCTGAACTACCGCTCCCCACCTTTTGCCATGAGCACACGCGCTCCAATTGTGTGGAAATACACAAATGCCACTAGTCCTTTACCCAGAAAAATCTCACTGAATCTCTTAGCTCCTATCAAATAATTTTAAAAAATGTAATATGATCCCGTGTTAGCGTGAAAAGTGTACTTTAATTCTATGATAAACAAATCTCATTCTACGTATGTATCTGTGTCTTTACGAATATAGACGCCCATCTCGATCGTGCCAGCAAGAAAGCCACGCTATTAATTATTGAGGCCACGCGATGGCAGGGGCAGCCGCCTGCCCGCCACCGCCTCTAACGCTGCCGCCGCCACCTCCATGCTCTGACGCCGTTCAGCCGGGCTGCGGGGCTTGTGCGCTCGCTCGCACGCACGCTCGCTCGCTCGTACACGCTCGCTCGCTCGTACACGCTCGCTCACATTCGCTTCCCCTTGGGAATGGCAGACGCACGCCCACCATTTTGTATTTTCCGCACCGCACGGAGCCATTTTGTGACAGGTGCTCTCTCTCCCTGCATGTGTGTGTGTGTGTGTCGGGCCTGCTTGCTTTTTTTCTTTCCAGGATTACGCATGCATTATTCATGTGTCCGCATCCCGCGTGGGTATTGTGCGCGTGGTGGCATAGTAGTTAATGCTGACACTGCGCCGCGCATCTGCTGATTACGGGGTTGCGATCAGCGAGCGTGTCAGACGTTGGCAGCACGTGGCTTCTGAACTTGTCGCTTGCCCCCTCGCTCGTCGTGCAGCCCCGGTGCCTTAAATGAGTACCTGGTGCAGTGTCAGTATTACCATATGGTGTAAATAACAACCACGATCGTTGAGTCGCAGCTCGGACGAACGGTGATGAGGCACTCATCTCCGTTGTAGATGTTGAGTCAGTGGTGGAAATTCCACGGTCCCCAGAGGCTGTAGCCGGTCTCTTCAAGATAGGAGGACGGACCACTTTTGACTTGCGAGAAAGTGGTGCTCTCTTTTTTTATTGACGCGGAAGGGATGATGGGCTGAAACTTTCCAATTTTTGCGGGTCATGTTCTTAACCGCAGCATTACTTAGCCATTAGTAGATGAGCAGTATGCAATACCACCGTAATTAAAATTAATATTCTTGATCGTTAGTTGTGGTGGTGATGATGATGAAATTGATGTTCTAAAATGTACATTTGGCCGAGCTGAATTTTACTGATCGTGATCCAGAGATCGTCACAGCTGGTGCAGTTAATACCCCAACACCACACCATCGCTTCCTTCCGCTACAGCTTGCAGCTCTCTTACACAGTTGATTCCCAGCCTCCAGGTTCTGCCCTTGTGTTCGCAAAGCCGCGAGCCAAACTCAATTCTTCTTTAAAACTTGGTGAAGGAATAAAAAAATGCATTTGCTTCCATACCAGCTACTGGCCTTTTGGTCCGTGCTGTAGATCGTCCACCCGGTGCGTTTGCGAATTCAAATCCACGTACCCTTGAAGCCACCATTACAAAAGTGACCACACACTTGCAGCAGCTCATTATTGCAGCAGGGAGTAGGGCGCGAAAAAAACAACAGATGCAGGCTACGGCGATAACTCGGATGCTGTAGCGGGCAGAGAGCCAGAAATCAGGTTTTTAGTGTTTGCGTGTGTGTGGTTTTTGGGCAGCGGTTGCATTGTGGGTAGTGCACTGCGGTAAGGCCAACATTACGCCAGTAAACATCTGCCGGGATGCAGCGACAGCAAGCCTATTGGACAAAATCGCAGGCAGTGTACATTTACCGTTACAACAAGACCTGCTTGACCCTGCAAGAACTCGTTTTAAAGCCCGGAAAACCAATCCGGGTATCGCGTCAATTGAAGACCGCTGGCGAGCATTTGCGGAGTTCTGTGAACGTTCCAAATGAAAGCCTCATCGACGATCCCACGATTGCTATGCACGGCGTTGATCTGCCAAGGAAACTACGGTGCTCCATCAACCGTTTCAGAACAGCGGTAGGTCGCTGCGCACACCACCTCCGCAAGTGGAGGATTAAAGGCAAACCCGCAGTGTGACTGCGGCCACCCGGACCAGACAATGGACCACATTGCGAACAACTGCATCCTACGCCCGCTGTCCGGCGGACTGAGCAGTATTAGTCGCGCTACTCGTGAAGCTATCGCATGGCTTACAGACTTAAGCTTGGACGTGCGATTTGCACAGACTTGCCATCCACTAGAGAGAGACTGCGGTAAGAACCCAGCGACCCGAGTTGGATTCACGCTTGCGGTCAATATCGGTGACGAATATCTGAACCGGTCGTGGGGCCTCCCCTAAGTCGGCCTGGCCTTAAATGAGTCCCTGGTGCAACGTGTAAAGAACACCATTAGGGAGGCAAGGGTGGCGGAGCGTGGTGCTGACCACCCACTCCCTCATGAGCCTTACCGGCCTTCATCGGTGCTCAGTAACAGCACTTGCCCCAACAGTTTGTTAATTGCTATACGGGGTCTTTGTCTTTGTAGGTTGAGTGGTGGTGGAGTAAAGAGTGCACTTTGAGTCCCCCACCATGGCTAACATTGGTGGCGAGTGATATCTGCATGGTTTCTGGGCCTCTCTTAGGTCAGCAGAGCCTTAAATTTGTGTATATACCAGTGCTGGGGGCTGACAGGTGGCTGCATTGGCTGTGATGATCTATTGGTATTGATGTCCTTTGTATCCCGCTATCTCTGTATTATACATGCATGCATGTTCTTACATAGGCTTTGTGTCTGTGTCTGTGCGTGCACATTCTTCCATGTATTTACAGCTGCGGACAGGGCACGGGAAGACCTACGGATAGCAGAGAAGTCACTCCGAGAAGTGGAAGACGACATCAGGTGAGTTAGAGGGGGGAGCGGCAGCACTCTGTTTGCCATTCTTACTCATTCTGCTCAACCTACTCTTGCGCGTGGTGGAGGCAGTGGCAATGTGATCAGGGGCTCGATGCCAATGTCGAGGTCTGCTGGTGGCCACGACGAGAGGGCTTCATGAGAGAGAGAGAGAGTTGGTGTAGTTTTGCAGTTTTCTCCTTCTTTGGTTCTTTCGGTAAAGTCACGTAGAATGAGAATAAAATAATAAATTGATAAAATTAAATAACACAATAATATTCTCACGACGTTTCGGCCACAACACAAGCGGCCTTCATCAGGTGAAGGGGACGAGACTGTCTGGAGGACAGCGCTGGAGTGAGAAAGCCACACTGAGATCACGACCTTTAAGCTGTGTGAGAAGAAACAAAGCGCCTTGACAAAGGAATTAGCATATAATTTAGCATTGAAATGGCTGAGTGATTGGCTTGTGACTGGTCACAGAAAAGGCTATGTTAAAGTTAAAGCATACACATCCGCAAAGGCACCCCTTGAACAGTCACAAGCTAATCACTCAGCCATTTCAATGCTAAATTATATGCTAGTCACAAGCTAATCACTCAGCCATTTCAATGCTAAATTATATGCTAATTCCTTTGTCAAGGCGCTTTGTTTCTTCTCACACAGCTTAAAGGTCGTGATCTCAGCGTGGCTTTCTCACTCCAGCGCTGTCCTCCAGACAGTCTCGTCCCCTTCACCTGATGAAGGCCGCTTATGTTGTGGCCGAAACGTCGTGAGAATATTATTGTGTTATTTAATTTTATCAATTTATTATTTTTTTCTCATTCTACGTGACTTTACCGAAAGAACCAAAGAAAATGAATCCTTGCAGTCACGAAAGCTTTAAATCGAAATACAGTGGGTTTCCTACATGGTCCATGGGTTGGGTTGCATGGCCACATAGTCACACTTCTGTGGCTTGTGTCTTTAATTGTCTGTTGATAAAGGAGAGATGTGCTTGTCAGATTGCTGTTGGTCTGGGAGAAGGAGGAGAAGGAGGAATGCCAAAGCCAGGAGGTGCGATGATGTTTGGGTCTCGACCGAGGTGTTTAATCTGGACGTTCCTCGTTGTGCCACTCTAATTCCTTGAGATACTTTATAATGCCAGCAATGTGTCAATAGGAAGGGCCTCATTGAGTCTCAAAACTCACTGGAGGAGGATCCTACCCTGAGATGTTTGGCCAGCACTCTTGATGAATGTTTGGCTTGTAGGCTGCCACCAGAGTGCCCAGAGAAAACCCACACGTGCGAGGAGGCATCACCTGGCACCGATATCCCCTCCTGGCCTTCTGATAGCTCCACGCCTGTGTTCCTCTATTTAGAGAGAAGATGTCAACTCCCCCGCCTGGTATACAAGAGGTCATGGGTTCGATCCCGACCCTGACACCTGCATATTTGGAGTTTGCTTGCGTCTCTGTCTCCCCGTGGTCTCGTGGAGTTATCTCCGGGGCCTCCGGGGTTTTCCCTCCACATTTAGAAACGTGCGTTTTACAGTATTTGGTTGCTATACATTACCACGTGATGAGCCACTTCGTTGAGCTGTCATTTGTCGCCAGGTCGCTTCTGAAAAAGAGCTGTTTCAGGGTCATGTGGCCCACGGCTTTGTCAGGGTACAAACCCAGTATTGTCAAAGCGACCTCCCAAAAATCCCGTGTGTCGGCATTTGTGTTGGCGTCTCAGAACCTTGCAGTAAAAATGTCACATGCATGTGTGCACACGTGTATATCGATTCGGGGGGAAAACAGAATTGGAGTGTCCCAAAACACGGGGGTGTCAGTGGAGGGTAGAGGTCACAAAGGTACAATCGCTGTGACTCTCCAGGGAGTGTCCTCTGTGTGTTTGTGTGTGCGTGCTCTCATTTGTGGAGTGGTTGCGTAGTGGTTAGCCCGATGTGTTATGAACCCGGCAAACCTTAGTTCAATTCCTGGTCACGGCCAACATTAGTAGAGATCATCTGAACTGGCCCCAGGCCCCCCTCCCTTAGGTTGGCTTATCCTTAAATGAGTACCTGGTGCGTTGTGTAAACACGAGCACTGTGGCAGCCTTAATTGGTTCCTCACTCACGCCACTTGTCCCAGCAGTCTTTGGCTCGAGGGGGATCGTTTTTCCACGTGTGCGTTTGTGACTGGATTAGCCTGCGAGTGTCGGTGCGGCGTTTGCCGCGCGGTGCAACAGTCCCGCCCACCTGGGTTCGATTCCCAGCCATGCGCCACGTTATTGACACGTGGTGTCTGAACTCGCCCTTCCTCGGTCTCGCCTATGTTGACTCAGCCGCACCTGGTACGCTGTCTGCATATTATCACTAGGAAGACAAAGGCGGCCAGGGCGTGGAGCTATCCACACCGCCTCTTCATGGGCAGTGCTGACCTTGGAAGGTGCTCGCTAACAGCACCGCCTGTATGGTCTGCAAGGCAGCATTTGGGATGTCTTTGTGTGAGTAATTGGGGCTTGCTTTTATGAGTTTACCAATTGTGGAAGCATTTGCTTTGACCTTTCAGGCACATTACTCCAATTTATGGGCAAAGTGTGCACCGTTCAACCAACACATTAGCCGTTTCATTGCCCGACAATTTCAATTCCTAACACTCGGTATCGTGATCCAGGGTATTTGACCCTGTCCTGGGCCTCTGCTTCAGTGAACTCGGTCAAAAAAGGGGTAGCTGGTGTGGTATGTGAACCTCGGCACTGGTGAGACGGAGGCAGGTCGCCGTGAGTGTTGCTGTCCACCGCTGTCCCGTCGTATGCCACGGCAGCCCTCATATTATTGCACTCTTCCTCATTGTCATCATCGGCCATCATCTGTCCACTTCTGGATTGAAGGCATCCGTGTGCCTTTGCCATCCCTCAAGATCCTGCGTTTAGAATCCATCTCGCTCCTGCATGTCAGCTGATCGCATCGCTCTATCTTTGCGTTCTCTCCTTTGGCTGCCGTTCCATCACCAGTCCCTTCTGCCGGTGTCCGGCACAAGCCCACTTGCTTACCTCAACTAGCAATGTGATGTTTCTGATCCATGTGCTCCTCTTTCCTCTCTAACAGTGAAACACAAAGCGTGCATCAGGCCCATGTTCCTCTGCTCACTGTGCAGACTTTTTTTCCATTTTCTTTGTCAGTGTGCATATTTAGTAATCTGCTCTGATTGGAAACTTTCTTCTGCAGGCACATTTGTCTGCTGCTTTTCTTAATAAGAGTTCATTCTGCTTCTGTTCATCTATTTAGTTCATGATTTTCATCTCCATTCAACTTTCGGAATTCCGTCGGTAGACATTTTCTGCCCTGCCTTTCAGTTGTGTCCCTCCAACAAATGTGATTTTGCTTGGCAAACGTGTTGTGCATGCCCTTAAGAGTTTCTCAATTCGAATAAAAACGGGGCACGCAATCTGACACAGTAATGAACAGCACCCATCCAAAACATTAATATAAAACGCAATGTCTTTATCGAATACACCCCAACGCTCCTGAACCGCACACAGCAGCCACATCCCCCACCAGTACTCCGCTGACACCGCGGAGTGTGTTTGGCATCGCCCGGGCGATTTCTCTCCCCCGGTGGTAAGTCCGCGTTCGTCCTGTCCACTTTTAGCAGCGGCAACGGCTGCAGCCACATCAGCCGGGAGTGAGACGAACGTCTGCCCCCTGAATGGCGTGGGGGTTTCCGTGCAATTGCCATTATGTGCCCGTGCCTTCTGGATGCCCTAGCAGTGATTCCCATATCGCAGTGCGTCAAAGTTGAGGTGTTGCTGTCGGAGCTGGCATGCCCGGTGGGCGGGTGGGCGAGCGGGCAGGCAGGCAGATGATAGGGGGACGCTCGCCGGCCAATGTGCCGCTGTGAAGTGGAAAAATAAACAAAAGATGAACATTTAGATTGTGCCACGTGTAGAGGCCGTGTTAACTGGCTTACATTTTAAATCGGGCTGACGGCCCGGGAATGTGTCTGCGTGAGTTTTGTATGGACAAATGCACTCAAGTCGAAGTGTGCCTCTGCTCGAGTGAATGTGCGGGTTGAGCTCATTCTCGTTTCGCAGCCTTTAGCCAGCAGTGGAAATCCCACATTCCAGTGGTGGCACTGGCCATCCTCCTCAAACGATGGGCCATGTTCACTTCTCAGAGACTAGAATGGGCTCAGTCAATCCCCAAACAAAGTTTGAACTCGAAACCTATGGTCTGTGAAGTTGAACACTGTTGACTGTAGCACCGCCTGGCTGGATTTGGTCAAGTGAGTGGCGAGAAGATGTGCAGTGGCTGCCTGAGGTACAGGAGCGCTGTGGCTATACCACCCGGACTTGCCTTCAGAAGTGTACGGGCTTAAAGCTTGGTTGGAAATCAACTCAGCCCATCATTCTGCTGGGTGGTCCTATCGAAGCAAATGGCGGTGGTCCTATCGAAAGAATAGGCCCTCTCCTCGTGGATGTTGAATTGTCACTAATCTTAACTCAAAATCACGCACTGAGATGGCCTGTTTGGCTGTAAATGTAAAGTGAGTTGGGGTGGAGCGGCGTTGTAGCGGCGAGCGCACTGCAAAATTAACCTGAGTGTGATTCCCGGCTTACGGACAACGTGATGACTGAACCAGACATGGGCGTTCACTTCATCAACGTGCACTGGCTGACGTGGTAAAGTATGGTCAAAACTAACCTTTGTGACCGACTCGATGTGTGGGCGGAAGGGGTTAGTTAGGCCAGGGGTCCCCGACCCCCGGGCCGCGGACCGGTACCGGTCCGTGACCTGTTAGGAACCGGGCCGCACAGCAGCAGGAGGTGAGAGCGGTGAGTCAGCGCGTGGCCCGCCCCCATTATTTTATTATTTACCACTTCCGTCCGCGCCTCTTTCCCGCACTGCACACTCAGTCTCAGTCACGTGGTGTTGGTAAGCCCACAAGCTGACAACCCTAGTAGCCACAATGAGTTAAAAACAAAGCTTCTTTGAAAAGGGGGAAAGACCCAATGATGAACCCCACTCCCCCCCCCCCCTGTCCGTGAAAAAATTGTCTTCCACGAAACCGGTCGCTGGTGCCAAAAAGGTTGTGGACCGCTGAGTTAGGGGGGGTGGCCTTAATCTAGCAGGAGATTGTCCATTGGGCTGTACATAAAACATAATTACTCTGTTGGTCTGCGGTCATCCACCTATTTGTTATGTATGTTGAATCTCTTTCGCACCGTACGTAGCCAATCGTGCTGCTTGGAGGTTCTGGGGGACACGTTCCCGCGGTGTTGTGTGTGGCGCTTTGACGCTTCGGCCCGTGGCCTGATGCGCGTTGCTGCCCGTCTCTTTGCAGGAGCCTGGAGAAGGAACTGGGTTTGGACCTCGGGCCGAATGGCGAGTTTGCGTACATGTACGGCAAGTGCTTCGACATGACCACCACCGAGTGAGTATATTCGCGTTTCTCCACGCCTTTTCGCGCCGTTGCTTGCCAGCATCCTTCCGCGACACTGAACGACGTAGCCGCAGTCTTCTTCCTCTCGTCTTGGATGATAGTCAGCCGGAACAGTCCGGAAACGCTGTTGCGGGAATGATATTTAGGCATGCCGCATCCTGACGGTCACCGCATCGCGCGCTTTCAGATACGCTTCTTCGGCCGTCTGGAATGCTCTTCCTTCCGATATTATGATAGCCACTGGAGCTAGGCATTTTTTAATCTCAAGTGAAAACTCATGTATCTCGAACTGCTTTTTTGTGTTTAGTTTGTTGTCCTTCCCCCTCGCCTCCGATTAGCACGGTTGGTTACGTACAGTACAAAAGAAGTTCAGCATACACGCATCCGTCTCGCCTTATTTCGTCCTCATTGCATCCAAATGTAATTAAATATGTTGTTAGAATTATAGGTATTTCGGGTATGGTATTTATAGGCATAGCTTGTAGTGGTAGTGCCTATGCCAAGCCATCTAGCCGATGGTTGTTCCGGAAGATATCGAGTGAGACATCAAGTTCTGGTCATAGCAGGCAGTCGATAGTGTGCTACCTGCTATGACATTTGGATCAGATGCATGGACATTAACAATGAAAATGGGAATAAAAACACCTGAAAGGTTTGCATGCTTGGGAATACTTTTGAGAGACAGAAAAAGGAGCACATGGGATGGCAGACCATGCAGGTTAATCAGAATCAGAATCAGAAAGGGTTTTATTCGCCATGTAAGTTCACACCGACACGGAATTTACTTTGGCAGGATGGTGCATACATTCAACATATAGGAATCTAAAATCTTAAATAAGTTTTAAACAAGTCTTACTATAATAAGGGTTAAAAGTCTAACACTAAGGGGCTGAAGTATATAAAATTAAATGAATATCGAATATAAAATAGCTTTAAGATATAATTTAAAAATACAAATAGGGAAACATAGTTAATATCAGCAACGTGTCGTTATGTAGATCAAATGTTAAAAACAGTGTTAGCCCTTGGCCTTGTTAATTCTACCTATTCTTGGTTCTTTCGGTTAAGTCACGTAGAAGGGAAACAATAAAATAAAAATATAAAACAATAAAATTCTCACGACGTTTCGACTGCAACACAAGCGATCATCATCAGGTGTGAAAGCCACAGCAATACATTTTTCAAATTTTATTTTATATTTTTATTATTTCATTGTTTCCCTTCTACGTGACTTTACCGAAAGAACCAAGAATATGAATCCCTGCAGTCACGAAAGCTTTAAATCAAAATATAATTCTACCTGTTAAGCAAAGCAAGTGGGCTTGGGCAGGATACATCAATTGAAGGGATAATAGCCTATCATCATCATCATCAATTGTCACGGCGCGCGAGCCCCTCTCTGCGTAGCGGTCCCCACGAGACGCCCCTACGCTGCGCTCGCCGGCATGCTGAGCGCAGGCCGAGGCGGTGGTGGTGAAGATCGGCCTCCATCGTGCACATGGTGCACGTTGGCCCTTGCCTGGCTCCGGGGTCGTTTGGAATCCCGTAGCGAAACTGCCCGTCGGTGATCACGCGCGGCAGGGCCCCGGCACGATGTACCGAGGCGTCCGGCTGGGCATTGTGTCCCAAGTGCTGAAGTCTAAACTAAAAGTAAACTATTTAAATTTTTACCAGGTAAGGCCCACTGAGCTACGTAGCTCTTTTTCAAATGCGACCTGACCACAAATGACAGCTCAACGAAGTGGCTCACGTGGCAATGTATAGCAGCCAAATACTCTAAACGCCTGTTGATTCTAGAAGTTGAGGGAAAAACCGGAGGACTCCACGCGACCACGGGGAGAGAGAGAGACACGCCAACTCCAAATATACAGGTGTCAGGGTCGGGATCGAACCCACGACCTCCTGTATGTGGGGCGAGGTAGTTGACGCCTCGTAAATTATTCTGGCTGTGAGCGTGTCGGACACCGATGGGTACCCTGTGCGATGGCGGTCCTCGGTGTTGTGATAGCCTCTGGTTAAGATTCATGATGGAGTGACGACCGTTTGGAGGCAATGTGCCCGATAGGACGTCAGCTGAAGCCACGGAGCGTTTTAAATCGGCTCGTGTCCCAAGTGCGTCGTCGAGATGGTGACAGCTTGAGGAGCTCTCTTCGTCAGCCAGTGGATGTTGGACAAGGGATTTGTAGACATGTGATCCTTCACAGACAGTCCATGGCAAATTACGTTAAAAAAAATATATTATTACGTAATCCATGGGGACCAGCCTGGGACCGTCAAATTTGGCATGTCTACGTTCCCAGTTTAATCACCGTTTAGGGGGGAGGAGGGGGCGGTGGGGGTGGGGGGCTAGAACTCGGATTCTTAGCACGCAACGTCTCCCGTCTGAAACACGACCGCGCCTTCCCGTGACGCCAGAGCCGAGTGGTGCTGGCTGGCGAGCAATCGTCGCATCTGCTCAGCCAGCAGGAGCATGGCTGGGGGGGGGTTGGAGGGGGTGGGGCACTACGGAGGGTGGGCAGGACGTTGGCATCGCGTTGGGATTTTCCACACCTCCCCATGTGCTGCAGGTTTGCGGGAAACAGAGAGCCTCTTCCTCTAAATCACGGCAGCTGAGCAGGTGCCGCAATGGCCCCTAAAACGCCATCGGCCAGCGACAAACAGCACCAGTAGAGTTGTAGTAGAAAAGATATAACACGTTTCTTCATTTGAGGAAGGTTGTTGGGGCGCCACTGTGGCAAGATGTTAACTACCTCGCCTGATGCAGGAGGCCGTGGGTTCGATCCCGACCCTAACGCCTGCTCTATATTTGGAGTTTGCGTTTCTCTCTCCCCGTGATCGCATGGATTTTTTTCCGGGTCCTCCGGTTTTTCCCTCCACATTTAGAATCAACGTCACGCGTTTAGAGTGTTTGGCTGCGATACATTTCCACGTGATAAGCCACTCGGTTCGGCCATAATTCGTGGCCAGGTCACTTTTGAAAAAGAGCTACATAGCTGGTAAAATAAAATAAAAATAGTTCAAATTGTTTTAGTTACTAGATCTTGGAAAACGAGACAATGGGGAAGGACATTTTTTTAAGCGGAGCAGTGCAAGGGAATGAAGCGGAAAGAGACATGCTGTCAACTGCAAAGGTGGTGGTCGTTGAATACAGAATGGAGAGAGAAAAAAAATGGGTACATTTAAAAAATGTACTTTGCGCACACTGTGCTGTGAACCCGGCGGAATGAACAAGCGCGACGTTCGGCTTTTGTCCGGTCCGCTGGCAGCACGGTGTGTGGAGCCCTCGACGAGCAATCACAAGGACACGAGTCTGAAATGTGACTGACGAGTCAAACTCAGGTCCCGCTTCCCCCCCCCCCCCCTCACCATGCGCTTGATAAAAGTGGCGGTTTGTGACAAGTTCCCAGTGGCCCTTTTACGGATGTGCTTTTGTCCCGAGCGTAGAAATGTGGAACGTCCACCGGGCCGGCCGATCTGCACTTGAGCTGGAAAACACTTTCCATGTTGAACTGAACTTCTTCCTCCTTTGCCTTCCCTTGTTGAGTATTCGTCACACGCGGCACACACGCGGCACACACGCGGCACACACGCGGCACACACGCGGCACACACGCGGCACACACGCGGCACACACGCGGTCGACGCGTGAGCGGTTTTCCTTTCACAGGTTTTTGGGGGTTACAAACTCGCCATGAAAAGAAAATTGCGTACGTAGATTTCGTCACAATTTTTTTTGCTTGCGCAATATTTTCCCTAAATCGTGCTTTCGGTGTCGTGTCATGAGACGAGCGATCCCTTTCGGGCCGCTCGAAGAGCAGTGTGTAACCCTTCTTCATGTTCCTCACGCGACAATCAACCCGCGCTCCGGCAGAGGGCTTAACTCGCTTACGAATTGACGACGGGAATAGTTTTGGCGATCACAAAAAAGGGCCGACCCGATGTCTATCGTGCCAAAAAAAACCCTCCCTCGCCAAAGCAGTGCGTCTCTCTATCCTCCTGAGCACATCACTAACCAAACACGCAGTGCCCTCCACCCACCTTCACATTGCCACCGGCCACCCTCGTCGGGGCTCATTTCATGGTGGACGCGGCGAGCGAGCGCTAATTTGCGTCGGCGCAGCACTGTCAGCCGCTGTCGCTGGATTCTCGATTCCAGCGGTTGCGGGGGTGAGGTGGAAATCCTGCCGCCCCCCTGCCGCCCCCCTGCCACGCCCTCACCCCCTTGTCCCCCCCCCCCCCGCACCGGAATGGAACGATTGGACGACTCGAAACAGTTTAATCGGCGGGACTCGCGGGAGACGGATCGGCGCGCGGCCGGCAAGGCGAGCGCCGCGCTTGCTGACTAATGGGGGCGACGGAGCGATGCCTGCGTAATATCCATCATGTCAGGGTGTCTCCTCCCCATTTCTCACGCCCGCCGTGCACCCAACCCACCCAACCCACTCACCACCTTCACCACCCCCCTCCTTCATCCCATCCCCAGCATACCATCCATCCCCTGCTAAATGTTTAATTCTTATTTGCCCTTGGCGAAGGAGAGACCGGGAGGAGGAGCCCCACGATAAGAGACCACTTTGCAGCGACGAGCGGCCGGGGCCTGTGTTAATGATGCGCTTAACGAATTGCCGCCAGTGGCGGAATTGAACGCCGCCGCGCGCTCTGAATAAGTGAGATGTGAGCAAACGTCAGGGCCGTAATCGGTGCCTGCAGCTGTTGATATTATTGTATCGTTGAGGATGCGAGGACTGTTGACTTGTGGCGGGCCTCTTTGCGTACGGCTGGATGAATTGGCGACCAGTAAGTGAATGCCAATATATATTTATTTTTGTAGCCGGGAAACGGCTCCCGTTTTTTTTTTTCCTTCCACGTGCGATGGATTGCTTCGACTTGGTTGCGCGGTCGATGGCCCGGCGGCCCTGCTGCCGCACGTCGGGTGATTTTTTCCCGTGAATTTGCGCTTTCTGCGAGGGCGGTGGGCGGATCCGCTCGCGAGACGTGCGGAGTCCATTGAACATCGCCCACGGAGCATTCGCCGCTGTGGGTGCCGTGCCACAACGGGGTGGCGTTGGTGCTTTTTTGTTTGTCATGCGCGGCTTGGCTCCTGCCGCGAGAATGTGGAATTTCCAGCACCGGCTCGGGGCTTGCCTGCCGCCGCTTGTTTTGTGCACGGACACATTTCGACTTGACCTTGAAGTCTGAATTTGCAGTCCCAATGAGTGCTGTTATTTTTAAAAGAAGTCAATCTCTACCCATCTAATATAATAATAATAATTTCATTTATTCAACCATGAAATCCTTACAGAGTGTCGAGACTCATTCTTGGCAGGGTCGTGCATTAGGAGCCTATGATCATATCACCCGGAATGCACCCGATTTCATCGGATCTCATAAGCAGCGTGGAGTTGAGCCTGTGTGGTGCTTGGGTGCGTGGCCACCTGCATTGCAATGTGTTATAGGCAATGTCGCTGTTGTGGGCAGTGCAGAACATTATATTGTTGTACTGTTCCTCCACTTGTATCCTCCCCACCTTCATCAGCCTGCGCTGACCAACGTGCTGCAGTCTGGTCAAATGGGTAGCAACAACCCACCACGGTTTGGGGAGGCACTCATCCAGCAGTGGATATGAACATAATATGGCTGTACGTTTATAATCGTATTAGAATACTCGACCAGTTCTCGAACAAGTGTTTGGCACGTGGAAATAAACTGTAGTGCCTGGGGAAATTCACACATAGGAGGGAGTATAGGGCTCCACATCTGTGTGGTCAATTAAGCAACCCACTTGTTGTGCTGCCTTCCCAGTTTAGAATCCCACGTGCATTCAGCTATCTCTGCATGTGATCCACGGAGCCATCCTCCAAAGCACCTGATGACAGCAGTGCAACATCAATACAAATATCAGGTCTCTCTTGCAAAGGAGATTTTCATCTTAATAGGCTCTTACCTGGTTAAATAAAGATCTGTATCTTTGCGTTAGTATTGGCTGGCGATTCGTGGGCGGTGATGTGTTGAAATTGGCTGTATCACACTCTGTTGGTGAATATCTTGGCCGAAGGCTGCGAGACCATTTATTGTCCCACTTTAATGAATAGCGATACCGATCCAACGGTTGCGTTATGGCTATTCATTTCAATATCCGGCCTCTCGGAAATCTGCTTCGAGCGCTTGACCTCCCGCGGGTCCAAAGGTCGCGGGTTCGAGTTGAAGACGGGGCGGCGACAGTGGCGTCGGCAGCTGGCGGGGGGTCGGAAGCGATTCTCACTCGGCCCTTCGTCACCCCCTGGACGCGGTGCTCGCCAATGCCTACGTGTACCGCACGTGGGGGAAGTCGACCGTTGCCGTCGTCCTTGGGAGCAGCTGTCCCCAACCACCGTTCATTGCCGCCCGTCGTGGAGGGCTGAGCAATGGCCATAATCTATCCACCGCTAGTTGTGAAGGGCCCCCCCCCCCCCCCCCTTTGTGCCATCGTCATCCATCCCATCGTGGTCCTGCGATGCTGCGGTCCATCTCATTGCCGCACTCGAATCGATCCCATCGCTCCGTCTCCACGGTTGTCGTCCCGCAGGGCACGCTCTTCATTTTAGCTGTCGTCGCGTTCCCGTACGTGACAATGTGTCCTACCGAAGACCATTTGTATTTTTAACAAATGTTTTGTTTTTGTTCCCTGGTTCGTACGTTCCTCTTGTTCCCCCGTATATCATTGGTTTTGTTGACTGAGCGAAAAGCTTTGGCATTGCCACAAAAAAATGCACTATATATGTGTATATTTTACGCTGTTTGTTTTTTAAACATTTTTCAGTTTAACAGCCCGCCATAGAGCAAGACCTTGGGGTGTTAATCCCAAAACAGCTGCATGTGCAAAGTGCTCTATGCAGGATTTTTCATACATAACAAGATATTTTTACATATATATTTGTGCACGCGGGGAAAGTGCCCTCTGCGTGTTTTGTTTGTGCTGCAATTCCTCCTTGTGTTTCCAGATATGTCTACAAGCTGTGCCCGTTTGACCGAGTCACACAGAAGCCCAAGAATGGAGGCAGCGACACCAGCCTTGGGTGAGTGACACTCCCTTCATTAGGCACATCGGAATGTATTTTACAATAGCATTTAAAGGTAATGTTGCTCAGAGGATATGGGTCTATGAAGCACATTAGGGGCTCGGTCTGTCACTGCTGCCTAAAGACCCCATCAGACTGGCCTGTGTTTGCATCCTAAAGATCCCATCAGAGGCTGGTCAAGGCAGTCTTTTGCCCAAAGGGTTAAATAAAGCGCATTCTTGTCAGTTGTTTAAAAGCTACGTCAGAGACCAGTCTGTCTGAACTTGCATTCGAAACTGCTCTGCACTGATTTTCCGCAAACCCCCATCAGAGGATGCTATTTCAATCTTTGTTCTAAAGTCTCTTTCGGAGCCTGGTCTAAGGATCTTTTATCTAAGACTGTATCAGATACCAGTCTGCCATCAGAGGCCAGTGAGTCGGTGTGTTGTGCAAAGCGGCGAAGGAAACCACTCTTGTCAGTTTGTCATCGAAAGACACTCAGCAATCTCCTTACTGAAGGTAAGCGTACAGATAAGAGTACATAGATAGGCCTTTTGTCGTTTATTTTACTCGGCGAATGTTAATGGTCTCCCTCCTGGTCAATGATGGGCATTAAATAAAACAAGGCAGCTGAGTAGGGCTGCAGAGAACAGTTCTCTTATTTTTTGCTTGTCGAATTCTAGGGGGCTGCCGATGAAAACTAGGATTCCTAAGTAATAAAAAAAACGTGTTATGCAATAGCGTGAATGTACGTAAAACACCATCAGCGTTTCATCCATGGCACACCACCACGGGAAGGATGTGATGCATGGAATAAAAGGAACAGAAAACAGATGAGAGAAGAGGACGTATGGGAAGTAAGGGGAAAGGCATGGAAAAGAAATGTAAAAATTGGTCCAAATGCTTAGGAAAGTTGAGGAGACGGAGGAAGAGACTCGACACGGAAGTGGAGTCTGTTTTCACAGGGGGCTAAGGGAGGGGAGGGATTCGAGAGTGGGGGTGGCCTCGCAGAAGTCACGTGATTTACGTGATGCTTGAGCTGATTCAGAGACGTAGATTGTGTCCAGTGACGTCGCATCGTCATTATTGACGCTCGTTCCACGCGTCACGTCGTTCTGCCACTGTGCCGTTCTGCGAGGCCGGTTGCACGACATTTCGCTATTCTCACAACTCTGCCTGAGACCCTCGTTTGTTGAACCCCTGGGACATGATTGGCTCACTTGCAATTCGTGTTTTTTTTTTTCAATACAAAAGTACTAGATTTGTAATTTCAGTAGGTCTCAGAAGATGTGCTTAGGTTTTACTTGAGATAAAGATCATAGCTGTAAGCCATCTGGAAGCGAAGCCTCACGATGTTACAGATGATACAACCGAACCTCGTGGTACCTGGAGCAGTGGCGCAGCTTGATCGGCATGAGCTCCGGTGCAAGGACTAAAATGGGGGGGGGCCCCCTCTATTCAAAATCCACACCCTCTGGCGTCGTCCGGCGCCTGGGCTGCTCCAGCCCCGTTAGCCCTGGTGCAGTTGCACTGCTTGCGCGCACTCGCTACTCCATAGCTGTGCCTCTGTGTGGGAGAATCTGAAAATTACATTGGACTCCCTCCCCTCCCAACCCCCCTATCAGTCAGAAAGACTGTGTTTTGTTTTTCTGTATGCCAGTAAGTTGCATAATGGAATGAATCATGGGCTCTTAATTGCTGGTGAAGTTGCATGGTGTAGCCAACATTTTTATTGCCATCTGAATAATCATGAATATTAAAGTGTAAGTACGAATTTTTTTAGTGGAATTTGTGATTTAGAATGAAACAGGTGAGCTGCGTAAAATACATTTAAAAAATGGCTTGAGGTTGTTTGGTGACTCTAGAAGATCATTAATGGCTGTGTCAGAGTGCTACGTCAGCGCAGTTAGAGAAAAGGTTGAAATACTCTTTGGTCCTTTCGGTAAAGTCACGTAGGTAGAAAAATAATAGATCACGACGTTTCTATCGCAACACAAGCAATCGTCATCAGGTGGGACAACCACAGCAAGAAAAAAACTGCTGAAAGGACCAAAGAGGGATGGATTCCTGCAGTCACAAAAGCTTCAAATCAAGATTTAAAATGTTGAAACTTTGGTTGCTTGTATCTGTGATGAAACCAGGTGTCCTCTCAACCTGGTCACCAACGATTTATATATAGAATCACAGACTCCCCTAGAGACCCAAATACTTCCCTAGAGACCCAAATACTCCCCTAGAGACCCAAACACTCCCCTAGAGACCCAAATACTCCCCTAGAGACCCAAATACTCCCCTAGAGACCCAAATACTCCCCTAGAGACCCAAATACTCCCCTAGAGACCCAAACACTCCCCTAGAGACCCAAATACTCCCCTAGAGAGCCAAACACTCCCCTAGAGACCCAAACACTCCCCTAGAGACCCAAACACTCCCCTAGAGACCCAAACACTCCCCTAGAGACCCAAACACTCCCCTAGAGACCCAAACACTCCCCTAGAGACCCAAACACTCCCCTAGAAACCCAAATACCCCCCTAGAGACCCAAATACTCCCCTAGAGACCCAAACACTCCCCTAGAGACCCAAACACTCCCCTAGAGAGCCAAATACTCCCCTAGAGAGCCAAACACTCCCCTAGAGACCCAAATACTCCCCTAGAGACCCAAACACTCCCCTAGAGACCCAAACACTCTCCTAGAGACCCAAATACTCCCCTAGAGACCCAAACACTCCCCTAGAGACCCAAACACTCCCCTAGAGACCCAGATACTCCCCTAGAGACCCAAACACTCCCCTAGAGACCCAAACACTCCCCTAGAGACCCAAATACTCCCCTAGAGACCCAAACACTCCCCTAGAGACCCAAATACGACCCTAGAGACCCAAACACTCCCCTAGAGACCCAAACACTCCCCTAGAGACCCAAACACTCCCCTAGAGACCCAAACACTCCGCTAGAGACCCAAACACTCCCCTAGAGACCCAGATACTCCCCTAGAGACCCAAACACTCCCCTAGAGACCCAAACACTCCCCTAGAGACCCAAACACTCCCCTAGAGACCCAAACACTCCCCTAGAGACCCAGATACTCCCCTAGAGACCCAGATACTCCCCTAGAGACCCAAACACTCCCCTAGAGACCCAAACACTCCCCTAGAGACCCAAACATTCCCCTAGAGACTCAAACACTCCACTAGAGACCCAAACACTCCCCTAGAGACCCAAACACTCCCCTAGAGACCCAAACACTCCCCTAGACCCAAATACTCCCCTAGAGACCCAAACACTACCCTAGCGACCCAAATACTCCCCTAGAGACCCAAATACTCCCCTAGAGACCCAAACACTCCCCTAGGGACCCAAACACTCCCCTAGAGACCCAAACACTCCCCTAGAGACCCAAACACTCCCCTAGAGACCCAAATACTCCCCTAGAGACCCAAACACTCCCCTAGAGACCCAAATACGACCCTAGAGACCCAAACACTCCCCTAGAGACCCAAACACTCCCCTAGAGACCCAAACACTCCGCTAGAGACCCAAACACTCCCCTAGAGACCCAGATACTCCCCTAGAGACCCAGATACTCCCCTAGAGACCCAAACACTCCCCTAGAGACCCAAACACTCCCCTAGAGACCCAAACACTCCCCTAGAGACCCAAACACTCCCCTAGATACCCAAATACTCCCCTAGAGACCCAAACACTCCCCTAGAGACCCAAACACTCCCCTAGAGACTCAAACACTCCACTAGAGACCCAAACACTCCCCTAGAGACCCAAACACTCCCCTAGAGACCCAAACACTCCCCTAGACCCAAATACTCCCCTAGAGACCCAAACACTCCCCTAGAGACCCAAACACTCCCCTAGAGACCCAAATACTCCCCTAGAGACCCAAATACTCCCCTAGAGACCCAATCCACTCCCCTAGAGACCCAACCACTCCCCTAGAGACCCAAACACTCCCCTAGAGACCCGAAACTACTCCCCTAGAGACCCAAACACTCCCCTAGCGACCCAAATACTCCCCTAGAGACCCAACCACTCCCCTAGAGACCCAAACACTCCCCTAGAGACCCAAATACTCCCCTAGAGACCCAAATACTCCCCTTGAGACCCAACCACTCCCCTAGACACCCAAACACTCCCCTAGAGACCCAAACACTCCCCTAGAGACCAAAATACTCCCCTAGAGATCCAAACACTCCCCTAGAGACCCACACACTCCCCTAGACCCAAATACTCCCCTAGAGACCCAAACACTCCCCTAGAGACCCAAACACTCCCCTAGAGACCCAAACACTCCCCTAGAGACCCAAACACTCCCCTAGAGACCCAAACACTCCCCTAGAGACCCAAACACTCCCCTAGACCCAAATACTCCCCTAGAGACCCAAACACTCCCCTAGAGACCCAAACACTCCCCTAGAGACCCAAACACTCCCCTAGAGACCCAAACACTCCCTAGAGACCCAAACACTCCCCTAGAGACCCAAACACTCCCCTAGAGACCCAAACACTCCCCTAGAGACCCAAACACTCCCCTAGAGACCCAAATACTCCCCTAGAGACCCAAACACTCCCCTAGAGACCCAAACACACCCCTAGAGACCAAAATACTCCCCTAGAAACCCAAATACTCCCCTAGAAACCCAAACACTCCCCTAGAAACCCAAATACTCCCCTAGAGACCCAAACACTCCCCTAGAGACCCAACACACTCCCCTAGAGACCCAAACACTCTCCTAGAGACCCAAACACTCCCCTAGAGACCCAAATACTCCCCTAGAGACCCAAACACTCCCCTAGAGACCCAAACACTCCCTAGAGACCCAAACACTACCCTAGAGACCCAAACACTCCCCTAGAGACCCAAACACTCCCCTAGAGACCAAAATACTCCCCTAGAGACCCAAACACTCCCCTAGAGACCCAAACACCCCCTAGAGACCCAAATACTCCCCTAGAGACCCAAATACTCCCCTAGAGACCCAAACACTCCACTAGAGACCCAA